CCTTATTCCAAGAAAAGCTCAGAAATGTCATTGAGCTGTATGCCCAGGAGGAGAGTAGAATGGACTTGGTAAGTAGCCAGCCATTCTCTTCTTCACAAAACTAAGAAGAAACAAAGAGGTAAGCAGAGATTACAAAGACGTGTTATCTCAAGAGTCAAGGAAAATAACTTCCAGTAAAAAAAATGTGTTTTTACACTTTTCCTACTGTATAACATTGTGGGAAATATCCTCTTATTCACCCTACTTTTTTGTAATCTGCTCAATTACTTCTTTATAAAGGAATCGGATTACAGGATCTCATAGAATGAATATTTGGATTTATAAATTCAGTTTGGGCACATTTTTCGGCAACTGCCCAATGCTAACAGCATAAAGGCTATAGTTCGGGCATTTACCATCCTGTAGACCCACAAAGTGATCTGGCTAATGACTTTGGGTGGTAATGGAAGGTAATCTATACCATTTCTCTTCAGAACCTAACACACCAGCTCAATTTATTTTTCCACCAATGCTGCAATCATAACCTGCTCTGGCCACCTGTTCTTACCAGCATCACTCAGGTATCTATATATCCTTAACACCAGTTCCACCTTGGACCCTGGCCTCTCCACCATTGTACATCAGTCCACCATGCCCCCTAGAACCACTGCTTCAGAACCAGTAAATCCTCTGCATCTTCAGCTCTCCTCTAGCATTTCCTTGATCTGTTTTAATTAAAACCTGAGCATACTCTAAGTACACTGCTTCCCATATGGTCTCCAGAACAGTCAGTGTTTATAATCTCATGCTGTATCTACCCCAAAATTAGAAGTTCTTTTTACCCCGCAGAGCCCTATGACTGGCCATTCTGCGCCAACCCTCTTTTTTAAAAAAGGGTAGGAGAAAATAAGGGAAGGAAGAAGGAAGGAAAGAAGGGAGAAAGGGAGGTAGGAAAGAAGAGAGGGAAACATTCTTTAGCTCCTTGAGTCCTAGACCTTTGGCTACATCACCCTGCCCTTCTGTGTCGTCAATTTCACCAAGAGTGAGGCACCAAGTAGGATCTTTATTATTTTCCCAGAATTGACAAGTAAAGCCAACTGCTGAGACAAAAAGCACCAAGTAACCCAGCTACCACCCCTAGGAGCTTCTTCCCTCCTTACCCCAACCCCACCCCGTTCAGAGTTCAGAATAGCCCCTCTCCCCTTATCTCCCTCAAGACTGGTAGACGGGAGCTTCATGCCACCAGATCTGGCACTATAGCAACAGATGCCCGCCGTGATATAAGGAAGGGCTGAAAGGGGTGCCCGAAGGGCCTTTGTGTGGTTACTTAGAGGAGCAGAGTTGAGAAGGAACAATCCTCTTGTTTCCACCGCCTGCTCCCCGCCCCCCCACCCCCCCCCCCGCCATTATCAAGCAGTAGGAGAATATTCCAAAAGTGCTCTTCCCCCTTTAAGTTCAGGAAAAGTTAATCTGTCCTCACATCCACTAAGCCAGGGACTGGTGACTTTCTACTCCCTAAATAAGGTCTAGCAATGCAGGACTCTGGTTGGAATCTGGAGACAGACGCAGAATAGAAACAACAGAGTTGAGAGAGGAACTGGGAGGCAGGATGAGAAGGTGGGCAGACTATATTCTCACCATTTTAGGTCAAGGAAAAGTGAATTTCCATGGCTAGAGTATGGTATAGACACTGCAGAGATGTTAGCAGTTCCACAGTCCACCCCCAGGAGAGCAGGCTAGTTTAATGACTATCTCTACAATAACTTCCAAAGGTGTACCCCAAGCCTGAACTCTTTTCTGAGCAGCAGATGTGTATGTTTATTTCTTTATTTATTTCTCCACTCAAATGGCCCAACAGCAGCTCTATTAGTTTGCTAGACCTGCTGTAACAAAGTGCCACAAACTGGGGGGCAGAACAACAACAACAAATTGTTGTCTCACCATTCCGGAGGCTTAGTCCAAGATCAAGGTGATGGAAGGGTTAATTCTTCCCAAGGGCTGTCAAAAGTGAAAGTCACTCAGTCCTGTCGGACTCTGCAACCGCATGGACTGTAACTTGCCAGGCTTCCCTGCCCATGGAGCCCCCCAGGTAAGAATACTGGAGTGAGCAGCCATTCCCTTCTCCAGGGGATCTTCCCCACTCAGGGACTGAACCTGGGTCTCCTCCAGTGCAGGCAGATTCTTTACCATCTAAGCCACCAGGAAGCTCACATGCTGTGAGGGAAGGATCTATTCCAGACCTCTCTCTTTGGCTTACAGATAATGCTCTTTTCTCTGCCTCTTGTGATATCATCTTCCTTCTGTGCCTGACTTCCTCTGTTGCCAAATTTCCCCTTTTTATAAAGACATCAGTCATGTTGGATTGAGGACCCCACCCTACTCTAGTATGGCATCATCTTAACTAATTATGCCTGCAAAGACCCTATTTCCAAGTAAGGTCCCGAGGGTTGGGACTTCAACATACGAATATGAGGGGACCACAATTCAGCTCACAACATCTCACATTTGCCATGTCCCCAGTTCATCTCAGGACCTCTTCTCCCAAACCTGATCCTTTCTCAGTGTTTCTCATCATGATGAATGGCACCACCACCCAGCCAGCCAGCCTGTGAGCCAGGCCAGCCATCTCCTGCTTCGTGTCATCATCTGCCACAAATTTTGTCCACAAATTTTGTTATATCCTCGTATGTCTGAATATTTCTAGAATCCATCCTCTACTTTCTTCTATATCAGCATCTTCCTTCCAAGCCACCATCATCTCTTGCTGGCCTTCTGCAATAACAATTTGATTGGTTGTCCCCCTTCAGCTTCCGATATATTTTTTTTTTTAAGTGCAAGTCTAACTGGGTCACCATTACCATCACTTAAAATAATTAAATGGCTTTTCATTGTCCCTGAACCAAAATTCTTAACACAACGTATGAGGTCCACAAGTCAGGACTTTTACCTACCTTTCTAGTCGTATTCCTTCCATATCACTTTCTACTTCCAGCACCTTACTTCACTTTTGATTTATTGTCCTTTACCATACTTAAGTTTTTCAGGCTTGAGTATGCCAAGCTTCCCCCTCCACACTCGTGCGCACACTCCTCTGAATAATCTCCCCCTGTGGTCTTTCTCCACTATCCATATTTAGTTAATTCTTACTTTTCATTCACTCAAACAGTCAAAAAACTCTAAGTATTTACTATGTGACAAGGCTCTGATTTAGTCACTCAAGGCATATCTGTGAGCAATCCATTAATTAATCCATTAATCCAGTGTGTGCATGCTAAGTCACTTCAGTTGTGTCTGACTCTGTGCGACCCTATAGACTGCAGCCCACCAGGCACCTCTGTCCATGGGATTCTCCAGGCAAGAATACTGGAGTGGGATCTTCTCAACCAAAGTTTTGAACCTGCATCTCTTATGTCTCCTGCGTTGGCAGGCAGGTTCTTTAGCACTGGTGTCATCTGGGAAACCCAAGTAGTACCAACAATGCATGTGGACAGACTGTGAACAATGCACCTAAAAGCTGGATTAATAGCATATTAGAGAATGATGGGGCTTCCCTTGTGGCCCAGCTGGTAAAGAATTCGCCTGCAATGTGGGAGACCTGGGTTCAGCTCCTGGGTTGGATAGATCCCCCGGGGAAAGGAAAGGCTACCCACTCCGGTATTCTGGCCTAGAGAATTCCATGGACTGTACCCATGGAGCAGCAAAGAGTCAGACACGACTGAGCAAGTGCTAAGGAGGCTGATAAGGGCTATGGAAATACAGGAAAAGTGGGGCAGCACAGGAATGAAAGGAGGACAGGCACCGCAGGGGCGGGGGAGTACGGGGTTACAGTTTCAAATAAGGAGGTTACTGTGGGCCTTCCTGAGAAGAGGAGATTGAGCAAGGACCCCAGCGAAGAGACAGAGTTTTCCAGGTGGGCCGGAGAAGGCAGTGGCACCCCACTCCAGGACTCTTGCCTGGAAAATCCCATGGACGGAGGAGCCTGGTGGGCTGTAGTCCATGCGGTCGCGAAGAGCCGGACACGACTGAGCGACTTCACTTTCCCTTTTCACTTTTATGCGTTGGAGAAGGAAATGGCAGCCCACTCCAGTGTTCCTGCCTGGGGAATCCCAGGGACGGGGTCGCACAGAGTCGGACACGACTGAAGTGACTTAGCAACAGCAGCAGCATATGGAGGGAAGACCATTCCAGGAAGCGGAAGCAGCCAGAGCAAAGACCCTCAGAAAGTAGCATGCCTGGCATATTTGAGGACTAGCCAGGGGGACGGTGACCTGGAGCAGCGTGAATAAGACTGCGTGTAGAAGTGGGGTCACGGTAGGCCTAGAGTCGGGGGAGGGGCAGATCACGTAAGGCCTTGTAAATCTTTGTAGGAACTTTGACTTCTACTCTGGGTAAAATGGGAAGTTATCATAGGGGTTTTATTTGCAAATGAGAACTAAGATCTGCTTTAGTTTCAAACACATTAATTTAGTTTGCTCTTTCAAAACAGCTTTGAAGGGTAAAGATAGCGGCTAGAAGACCAATTAAGAAACTGTTGAGCAATGCAGGCAGGGGACAATGGTGGCTAAGAGCAGAAGTGGTGGGTGGTGGTCCCAGGTCTCAGGCGCCACTTGGCAAAGGGATGAGATCTGTGTGCACTGAGGAAGAGTGGCATGTAAGAATCACCGCACGCATTAGCAGCATCCTTCCACCCAAGACCCTTCCAGCTCAAAACACTGCGCTCTTTTGCGCCTCTTTCGGGGTCACGTAAGAGTTTGGAGTCCTTTATGCCCAGTTCTCACATGCCTGGCTTTCTGGACTCGCCAGAGGACCAGGGGTGCTCACTCTCCACCTCTCCTCACCACTGCTTGCCTACCCAGCCTGCTAAGCTGCACAGCCGATTTAAAATGCCTCTTCCACCTTCTGACTTCTGACTCCCCTTTCCTCTCTCACCAGAGCACCGCTCACCGCTTCCTGTTGACTCACTCTTCACTTTCTCTTCACCTTCCTGAGCGTGGGTCGAGCAGGAACTGCATCTTACTCACTCTGCCCCTCTCTCCACGGGCGCCCCTGGAGCTGCACCCTCTCCGCTGTGTCCCCGCCCAGCGGCCCATCTGTCAGGGGACGCCTGCTGCTCCAGCGGCAGCCCAGGGCCGCCGCGCCGGCGTTCATTCATTCTTCCTCTGCTCCCTCCCCCGTAGGCTCCTCCGTCTGCTTTCTCTCTCCTCTCTTGTGTGAAAACGACCCTGAATTCCTTGTCTTCCCCTTTCTTTCCCTTTCAACCTTTGCCAGTTTCTGTTTGTTTGTGTCTCCAACCTCAAAAATGCATTTGCTAACCTTCCTCCTGCCCTTTCTTTGCGAGGACTGACTTGCCTATTCATCCACAAGCAATCACCAAGGAAGCTGGAGAACTCAGTGTGGGCACCAAGCTCTGAATGCCTCTTATCAACCCCGGGGGCCCTGAGACACGAGGCACCCCAGAGTGTGCTTCCTCGACACTTACAGGCAGGTGCCCAGCGAGCAGAATTCTGTCCCTGCATTCCCGGAGGAGGATTAAGGACAGTACAATAATATTTCGTCTAGAACTCTACAATAAGCAATGTCACCTTTCCAGAAAACAGCTATGAGCTGGGGAGAACATAAACAGTTCTCTCACTGCCAAAACATGCTGCAAGCTCCAGGCACTAAAGCTGAGGCACGTGACCCATGGTAAACTCACCTGGGATTTCATCGTCACTCATTTTTGTTTATTTTTGTGTATTCTTTACAGTGGGGAATCAGATGTCCAACCTCATAGTCAATTGGAAAGCAAATTTGAAGAAAGGAGATATTCTACCTTAGATAAAGAAACGTACAGCAGTGAGAAGAAATAGCACACAGTCTGAAAGGAGGAAAACAGCTGTAATAAGTTAGCACTGGAACCACATGGAAGAGTGGGGTTTATAGGTTGACAACTCTATCACAGAAAAGCTGCTCAGAGATGAGGTATAGATTTTTGGCAATGATGATCTAAGAGAAAGAAAAGAAAGGTGTGGAGATGCTGGGGTGTGCCAGGGGGACAGCAGCAGCGGATCTGAGATGGTACATGGGGGGCTTTCATGTGTGGGAAGCAACAGCAGATCTGAGATGGTACACGCGGGGCTTTCATGTGTGGGAAATGATTCGGTGACTCACCAGCTCCCCATGTTTCGCTTTCTCCGAGCCCACATCCCGACATCTACCATCCCTGCTCCCCATTCTGGGCCCAGTGGCTTTCTCACCAAACCACAGACGTCAGAGGTAAGAGAGTATTAAAGTAACCTCCTCTTCTGGTGAGCACCATCTGTCCCTCGACCCTTTAGTCCAGCCCGAGACCAGGGCACCACCACGCAGCCTTTCAGGATGTCCCACCTAGACTCTACTCCTGTCCCTTCCAACACAGCCAGCGATGATGAGAATCTACCAGGAGCTTTCATGACGATAATAGCATCTTATCTTCACTGTGACCTATGGGGGAGATACCGCCATCCCCAAGTTATAGGAGAAACTGGGAGCTGCTAGAAGAAGAGGTCAGACTGAATTCAGTTCTACTGAGGCAAAGCCTATGGCTGTTATGCTATCTCATGCTACTCCAACGTACAGACAGCCGTAATCTATCTCCTATCCATAACCCAAATTACTTGATGGTTGCAATTCAAAATACACTTTCTCTATCCCTTTTAGAGAGTCAAAACTTATATTTTTAAAGTTTCTTGGTATTGTTTTTCTCATAAAAATGATCCAAGTCTAAGATCTGTAATATATGTGTTCATGATTCAATGACGAAGATTTAGGAAAAGTTTCTCAGTACCGCTGCACTACAACTTACGTACCTCTAAGTTATTTATCTATATTTTCAGCAAAGCATTTTTGGAAAGGCCTTACATTTTTGGGGATGAATTATTTTCAGATGGTTCCCAAATGAACTAGCCTAGGGTCACGGGGTCACGGGGCATATATTATCTCCTTTACTGGTTTCGTGAAACTTCACTTGTCCACTGGAGTATTGGCTTTGTTTGTATGTGAACAATGATCAAAATCATTAAAATACTCAGTGAAAACAGTCACACTACAGCCATTGCAGTAACTACCCATTTTGCAGCTATGTTGGAGTTTTCTCAAAGGCACTTTAACGAGCTCAGTTGTTTAGGTTGGTGTAAGCATTAAGAAGCGAGAAGGGAGGATCAGGCGAGCACTCCCTGTAATAGACTTCGTGGTGTGCGCCTCGTGCCAGACTTGAGCATTTCTCATATTGGGGTCTAGCAATCACATCCCTGGTGATTATCCAGTTGGTCAGCTTCTACATTCCCCCCAGCACTCTTGATCTTCTCCTGCTGTAACAGACAATGCCTCCGTCTTCTGCAAGATTCACGAGTGTGAATGTGTGTGTGCTCAGTCACTCAGCTGCGCGGTTGTACCCCACTCTTTGCAACACCATGGACTTTAGCCCACCAGGCTCCTCTGTCCAGGGGATTTTCCTGGTGAGAACACTGGAGTGGGTTGCCATTTCCTCCTCCAGGGGATCTTCGCAACCCAGGGATCGACGCCATATCGCCTCTGTCTCCTGCACTGACAGGTGGAATCCTTTCCACTGAGTAAAACCCCTCCGCAAGTTTTACTCTGGTTAAAGTGACAATTATCCACATCATTGTGAATAGGTGTTTTCGCCACAATCTGACTGCAATCATATTCTCAGACACATCTTTCCCAAGTTTCAGAAGGGAGCAAAAGAGTAGCCGGGGGATTCCCCTGCTTGATGTTCATGTCATAAATCATTTCTGTGTTGGCTACTTATACCCACGAAAAAAAGCTGTATTTTTCTCAGTGTGGACAGCTCTCCAGAGTCTAGTGGATGAATGGCCAGCACGGCGCTGCGTGCACAAGGCTGACGCTGTCTTCCACTGCTTATGAAGCGTGTGGCAAGTCAGGCATTTTAAGTCAGCCTGTAAACCCCAAGGAAATGTCTCCTGACCCACCAAAACTGCCTGCGAACATTAACAGAAACTCCTATTCGAACATAGTAGTCATGAGATGGAGGTGAAAAGGTAGAATAATGAAGTGCGGCAGCTTCTTTTAATAAATTTCCACTCATCCATTCAACAAATATTTCCTAAGCAATTACTGTATGCAAACCATACTCTTGGGAATTGGGTTGGGTGACTGGTCCAAGGAGAAAAGCAACAGATTCATCATTGGGTCAGGGTCCAGTCAAGAGCGCAGAAACCATATGGAGTATTTCAACAGGGAATCTATCACGGGAAATGGGAGACGCAAGTGTTGGGAAGAATGAGGTGACACAGACTTGTTAATTATAGGAAGTAAGATGCATCTCAGGCTGGGGAAACACAGGGAAAAACTTAGAAGTTGGAGGAGGCACCCCTCGGAGTTGGGCTTGGCTATCTGCCCCTCAGAGAGCTGGGGTTGCGATGCCTGAGCTGAGAGGTGACACAGTTGATGCCAGTGCCTCTGAGGGACGCCAGGAGGCGGGCTCCCGAGGCTGGAGCCAAGTGCTGCTGATGAGCTGGTGGGCCATCCCTGAGATATGACTTTCAGGAACATCAAGCAAACAGGGAGGAGCTGGTCCCTTCTTCCACTGCCTTCCAGTCTCTCTCCTGGTGCCCTCAATGGCAGAACCTAATCAGGAGGAGGTCCATCACTGGAGCAGAGTGAGGAGGGTGAATCTCGAGCTGAGTGTGTCCACTGCTTAATAATGGCATATGTGTCTTCTATTGTCAGATCTAGCAGGGAAGATGAAGCACGTGTGCAAATGCAAAGTTAAAATTAATAAGTAACCCCACAGTTATATGGTGTAGGTGTTCTGGGGAGAACATACTTATTTCCAAGTAGGGAGACAAGGAAAAGCTTTAAGGAGGGAATGAAATCTCACATCAGACCTGAAACACAATAAAGCCTGAATAAATTGAGAAAAGATAAAGGGAACTTCAGGCAGAAGGTACAGGGTGGCAGGAAACCACAGAGACCAACAGATTGGGAAGCAGGCTGGGAAAATACCATAGAGGGCTTTGAATTGCACACTAAAGAATGCTCTGGATTTTTCAACACTTGAACACTAAATTCTGCCAGATTGTTTGAATCCCTGGTGACAATATTCAAATTTAGTGCAGGAAGTTGGGACATCTTTTCAGGGTGACAAGAGCCCTTACAATAAGTAGATTGCAAGTCCCCTCAAAAATCAAATTTGTGACACTGTAATTCTACACTACCAGGCTTTCCAGCAGTAGCCAGTAAATTGAAGAAGTGCTAGACATTTCACTAAACTCAGTGTGGTGTTTAGATCATTTGCAGTTCATTTTTGGCACGGTCTAGAGGTGGAGACATTTTCCATATAAATCTCTGCCCAGCCGCTGCGTGCACAATGGTTACAGTGACACATACCGGCTGCGTGGTACAGTCATCTGTCATTCCCGAACACAGACAAGAATGTCATCCGCTCTGTAAATAAGTCTATTTATTTCCCTGTTGATGGAAGTTACCGCATTCAAACAATGTGCCTTTGGCAACAAATTCCGGCGGCTGGGGGTGGGAAGAGAGAATCAACTTGGGGTTGGCATTATTTGTTTGAATCCATGGTGTGATGTGCAGGTAAAGGCTCGGGGGAAGAGGAGGAAAGCTTTGATCTTTTGTAGTGTTTGCTGATTTCTGTGGTGTACATATATTAATACCATGGCCAATTCCAGGCTATCAATCTGACATCACTAACCTTGAGATTGGGCAAAAATGTGCAAAATCAACTCTCGCAGACCAGAGTGAGCTAGCTCCAGCATAATGCTGGTAGGCGTTAGATAGAGGAGGAAATGATATGAGGCAGCCAACTACAAATGGCCTAGAAATTAGGATGATTATTAGGCTAAAGGAGAGGAGAGACATGGATGCAAGAATCAATAGCTCTTCCCAGAAGTATTGAAAACCCTTGGAAAGGAATCCTAGGAGAAGAGAAGAAGAAAGAAGTGACCAAAGATGTGCAATCATGGACACCTATCTCCAAGGTGGTGCAGTTTCTTAAATTCCCTGAACACTTTGTTGAGAAAAAGCATTTTACTCTCCAAAAGTCCACCTTAATATTTTCTAAAGAACTTAGGAAGGACTTCCCTGGTGGTACAGTTCAGAATCTGCCTTGCAATCCAGGGGATGTGGGTT